TTCCATGGTTTGTTGTTGTTTGTTAAAGATTTTATTTATTTATTCATAAAAATACACAGAGAGGAGAGAGAGAGAGAGAGAGGCAGAGACACAGGCAGAGGGAGAAGCAGGCTCCAAGCAGGGAGCCCGACATGGGACTCGATCCCGGGACTCCAGGATCACAGCCTGGGCTGAAGATGGCGCTAAACCGCTGAGCCACCCAGGCAGCACATCTTCCGTAGTTCTATTCAAATTTTAGGATCATTTGTTCCAGCTCTGTGAAAAATACCATTGTTATGTTGATGGGGATCGCATTAAATGTGTGGATTGCTTTGGGTAGTATATAGCCTTTTTTAAATAATAAATTTATTTTTTATTGGTGTTCAATTTGCCAACATACAGAATAACACCCAGTGCTCATCCCATCAAATGCCCACCTCAATGCCCGCCACCCAGTCACCACCACCCCCCGCCCTCCTCCCCTTCCACCACTCCTAGTTAGAGAGAGAGAGAGAGAGAGAGAGAGAGAGAGAGGTAGAGACACAGGCAGAGGGAGAAGCAGGCCCCATGCAGGGAGCCTGATGCGGGACTCGATCCCAGGTCTCCAGGATCACACCCTGGGCCGAAGGCAGGCACCAAACCGCTGAGCCACTCAGGCATCCCCTGTCAGTGCTTTTTCTGCATTTGTTGAAATGGTCACTTGGTTCTTATTCTTTCTTTTAATAATGTGGTGTATCACAGTGATTGATTTGTTAATATTGAACCATCTTGGCAACCCAGGAATAACTCCCACTTGATCATGGTGAATGATTTATTTAATGTATTGTTGGATTAAATTAAATCACTGTGCTAGTTTTTTATTGAGAGTTTTTGATCTGTGTTAATCAGGTATATTGGCCTTTAGTTCTCTCTCTCTCTCTCTCTCTCTCTCTCTCTCTCTTTGTAGTGGGGTCTTTATCTGGTTTTGGTATCAGGGTAATTCTGGCCTTATAGAATGAATTTGAAAGTTTTCCTTCCTTTTCTTTTTTTTGGGGGGGTGGGGATACTTCGAGAAGAATAGATATTAATTCTTCTTTAAAGATCTGGTAGAAATGCCTCAAGAAGGCCATCTGGTCCTGGACTTTGTTGGGAGATTTTTGATTGCTGATTCAATTTCTTTGCTGGTTATCTGTCTGTCCAAGTTTCTTATTTCTTCCTTTCTCATTTTTGCATGTTATATATTTCTAGGAATTGATCTATTTCTTCCAGGTTCTAGGTTGCTGGCATATAATTTTTCATAATGTTCTCTTATAATCGTTTGTATTTCTGTAGTGTTGGTTGTTATTTCTCTTTTCTCATTTGTGATTTTATTTGGGTCTTTCTCATCTTTGTATTTCTTTTTTTTTAAGATTTTATTTACTTATTCATGAGAGACACAGAGAGGCAGAGGTATAGGCAGAGGGAAAATGAGGCTCCATGCAGGGAGCCTGATGTGGGACTCGATGCCCCAGGACCCCGGGATCATGACCTGAGCCAAAGCAGATGCTCAACCACTGAGGCACCCAGGTGCCTTGCTGATTCAATTCCTTTGCTAGTTATGGGTCTGTTCACATTTTCTATTTCTTCCTATTTCAGTTTTGCTCGTTTGCACATTTCTAGGGATTTGTCCATTTCTTCCAGGTCTCCCAGTTTGTTAGCGTATAATCTTTCATAGTATTCCCTTATAATTGTCTTATTTTTCTGGTGGTGATTGTGATCTCTCTTCTCTCATTTGTGATTTTCATTTATTGTAGGTCTTTTCTCTTTTCTCGTTGATGAGGCAGGCTAGGGCTTGATCCATTTTATTAATTATTTTGAAGAACCAGCTCTTAGTTTCGTTATTCCATTCTACTGTTTGGTTGTTTCTGTATTGTTTATTTCTGCTCTCATCTTTATTATTTCCTTTCTGCTGTAGGCTTTAGGCTTTGTTTGCTAGTCCTTTCCAGCTCCTTTAGGTGTAGGGTTAGGTTGTGTATTGGAGACTTCTTGTTTCTTGAGGTAGGCCTGTATTGCTATGTACTTCCCTCTTAGGACTGCCTTTGCTACATCCTAGAGGTTTGGAGAAACATGTCTTCATTTTCATTTGTTTCTAAATTTTCATTCCCTTTAATTTCCTGGTTGCTCCATTCATTCTCTAGTAGGATGTTCATAATCTCCATGTATTTTTGGTCTGTCCAAATTTTTTCTTGCTGTTGACTTCGAGTTTCATAGTGTCGTGGTCTGAAAATGTACATGGTGTGATCTCAATCTTCTTGTACCTGTTGAGGGCTGATTTGTGGCCCATGATGTGATCTGTTCTGGAGAATGTCCCATGTGCACTTGAAAGGAATGTGTATTCTGCTGCTTTAGGAGGAAATGTTCTGACTATATCTGTTGAGTCCCTCTGATCCAGTGAGTCAAGGCCATTGTTACCCTGTTGATTTTCTGTGTAGATGATCTGTCCATTGCCATAAGTGGGTGTTAAAATCTCCTGTCATTGTATTATTATCAGTGAGTTCCTGTATGTTTGTTGTTAATTGGTTTCTATATTTAGGTACTCCCATGTTGGCAGCATAAATATTTACAGTTGTTTGATCTTGATAGCGTCTCCTTAATTATGAAATAATGCCCTTCTTCATCTCTTCTTACAGTATTTGTTCTTTCTTTATTTTAACTTAAAGATTTTATTTATTTATTCATGAGAGATACACAGAGAGAAGCAGAGGTAGAAACATAGGCAGAGGGAGAAGCAGGATCCCCAAGGAGAGGCCGATGTGGGACTCGATCCTGGGACCCCAGAATCATACCCTGAGCCGAAAGCAGATGCTCAACCACTGAGCCACCAGGTGTCCCCAGTGTTTGGTTTCAAATCTAGTTTGTCTGATATAAGTACGGGTCCTCCAGCTCTCCTTTTATGCCCATTAACGTGATAGATGCTTTTCCATCCCCTTTCAATCTGCTGGTGTCTATAGGTCTAAGGTGAGTCTGTGGGCAGCATATACATGGATCTTGAATTTTTTTAAGATTTTTTTATTCATGAAAGAGAGAGAGAGAGAGAGAGAGAGAGAGAGAGAGAGAGGCAGAAACCTAGGCAGAGAGAGAAGCAGGCTCCCCACCAGGAACCCGATGTGGGACTCAATCCCAGACTCCAGGATCACACCCTGAGCCGCAGGCAGAGGCTCAACCCCTGAGCCACCCAGGCGTCCTGGATCTTGTTCTTTTAATCCACTCTGATATTCTATATCTTTTGATTGGAGCATTTATTCCATCTGCATTCAGAGTGATTATCGAAAGAGATGAATTTAGTGCCTTTGTGTTACCGGTAGAGTTGGTGTTTCTGGCAATGTTCTTTGGTCCTTTCTAGTCTTTGTTGATTTTGGTCTCTTTTTTTCCCCTACTAGTAAAGTCCCCCTTAAAATTCCTTGCCAGACTGGTTTAGGGGTCATGAACTCCTTTATTTTTTGCCTAAGAAACTCTGCAGCCATGGTCTGGAGCGTCCTCTGTGTGTCCTACCGGGGACCCCAGCATCGTGTCTGTAACCATCCGGCTGCTGTCTGACAACATTCGGGGGATTCCAACGTTTGTTGGGTTAGGGGTGTGTGTGTGTCTGTCGCCGTGCTGCGATCTGATCCTCACCTGCGTCGTCCTGACACTGAAATTGTTGAAACACCATCATTTCTGGTGCTGGTGCTGGTGCTGGTACTGGGTGGCTAGCTGGGTTCTCCTGGCCGAACCGGGCTCCCTCGTGCCGAGCCGTCCCACTGGAGGGTCAGCTGAGCTGGAAGGTCCGGCTCGGCAACATTCCCGTGGGTGGCAGTGGGTCCCCGCCAAGCGCCGGCCACTTCTCTTCTCCCCGATGCCTCTCCAGCAGGGAGCCAGACCTCGGGGCCGCCCTGGGGGGAGCATCTGAGGAGCCGCTGCCCATGGGGGGAGCCCTGGGGCTGCCTGTGTGTGGGAGTCGGGGTGGGTACGGGGCTGGGGTCCCTCGGTCCCCTGTGCTGCCTGCCCCCAGGCCGAGCCCCACGCTCACCCAGCCCCTACTCTCTAGGGCATACAGGGTGCCCTCCACACTCTGGTGCGAGAGATCAAGCAGCACCAGGTGTGCACCCTGAGCCCGCTGGGTGAGGGTGGCCCAGGTGCGTGAGCTGCAAGGGCCTGCTGTCCTGACGTCCCTCCAGGGCCACTCTGACCACCCTGCGGGCCCTCTGTGCCCCAGGCGCACAGGCCCGGGGCGGGGAGGGGAGGAAGCGCCCCGGAGCCCGGGCAGCCCAGGCCCCCTGGACAGAGGGGGCACAGACCTCCCAGGGCGCTTAGCACAGACCCTGGTGACCTGAGGCTCCCTGGCTGTCTCTCTGTCCCAGGCCCCTCCTGGCCGTGGGCACAGGCTGAGTCCCACTAGAGTCTGTGGGGTCCAGACCCTGGCGTCTGGCCGCCCCTGGAAGGCACGTGGCGACGTCAGCTGTGTGTGCCTGGAGGCTCCCCTGCAGAGGCTGGTCGGGGCCTGGGCAGTGCCCCCTCCTCCTCTCTGGGGGTGTCTCCGCACCCCGAGCACAGAGCTACGAGAGATGCAGAAACGAGCCGGCCGTGCATTTTCACACAACACTTTATTGAACTTGCAACAGCAAACAGGGGCTCAGAGCCGAGGGTGCGCGCCTTCCCCTGGGAGACCTTCCTGTCCTTAGACGAAAGCAGGAATCCCACAGGGGTGCGGGTGCTGGAGCCCCCCACCTGGGAGCCTGTGCGGACTCGACTCTGGGTGGGGGCGCATGTTCTGAGGTTGGGGCGTTGAGAGGCGGTTCTGGGGACAGCAGGGCTGACGTGGACCTGCGGCCCATGGGCTCCTGCGCTGGGTCCCCGCAGGGCAGCTGGACCCCGGCCTCGGGCCCCCTGGAGCCGGGTGACTGACTGCTAGAGCCCGAGCACGTGGAGGAGCCTGCCTCCTGCTGTGGGTGCAAGTGGGGCCCAAGGGCCTGCCCCTGCTGCCCTGCCCTGTGGTGTCCCAGGATCCCCAGGGATGCCCTAGGTCAGCGGCCTGAATCTGTGGGGCACGCCCAGGGCCCAGGAGGCCATATCCAGCTGTGAGAGGGCTCGCTCAGCCCGGGGCCAGAATGCAGGCCTGGCCAGGGCCCCGGGGCACTGGATCCCATTAGTGCTGGGCCTAGGGGGCTCGAATCGCTCCTGCCCCCACAGAGCCCGGGGCCAGGCCAGCCCAGGTCCCTCAGGATCAGGGTCTGGTGTCCTGTGCGGGGGGTGCCACCCTCCGGGAGGGACAGCAAGACGAGGCAGGGCACGGTGACGGCGGGCCAGAGCCTCCGGACCCCCGCCCACACCGCCACGCTCTGCCCCAGAGGCCCACAAGCATCGAGCTGTCCCGTGGACGCGGAGGGCAGAGGGTCCTGGGCCTGTGCGGGGCCTCGGGGCAGGGGCTCAGTGCCGCCCTGGCTGTGCCCGTCACTGCCCAGTGAGGGGCACGAGCTGCAGTGGCCACGGGGCAGGAAGGGAGTCCTGGGCCCGACAGTGTCGTCCCTCGGGGGCTGAGGGGACCCTGTGATCGAAGTCCCGGAGGGGGAGCTCCAGGGCATGGTCCGTCGCAGGGCCTCTGGGGTGGCCCAGGCAGGTGCTGAATGGAAGGGGACCCCGTTTTTTGTCTTGAAGCTCACCATGTCCGGAGCCCCCATGCCTGCACCGTCTTGTTGCACTGGGAGGATGGGGAGGGAGTTCCATCGCTGGGGGGGATGTTGGACAATGGCCTGGCCGGGAGGGGGTCCGGGTGGCTCAGGCTGGGTGGCTGGGCCCGGGGAGGCCTGCTCCTCCACCCTGGGTGGTGTCTCAGAGGCCGGAGAAGGGAGGAGAGGCCCGGGCTCCGGGGACACTTGCTCCAGGCCCAGGGGCCTCGTGGGGAACTCCTCAGGTCCCGCTGGAAAGAGGCCGACGGGGTCAGCGTCTCCAGCAGGCTATGTGTCCCCCGCTGCGGGCCCCGGGGGTCCTCATGGCTCCCGCGTGGCCCCCCGGCCTGACCCTGTGCTCAGCCCCCCACACTGGTGCCCGGGCCCTGCAGTGGGTGCCCGCCCGCCCAGCCCTGGCCTGGGGTCCTGGAGGCTGGAGCAGAAGAGGAGAGCCCCAGAGATGAGGACTGGGGCCCCGAGAGCTCTGTCCCCTGTGGGCAGCCCCAGCAGGCCGAGTCGGGAGGGGCCGGGGCCCTGAGCCCACCTGGGGGGGGCAGGTCGCACCGCATCCTCCGGAGATGGGTCATGAAGGCCCAAAGGTGTCTGAGCACTGCCTCGTCCTCCTGGGCCCAGGGCTGGGCCAGAGAGTCCTGGAGGAACTCCCGGAGGCTTCCAGGGGCAGCTTCAGGAGGCGCTCTGGGCGGTGGGGGAGAGTCAGACCCAGAGGGCCCCGCCCTGGGGCCCTTGGTGCCCCCAGACCAGCGGCTGGGGTCCCGCTGTGCCCAGGAGCGCCATGCACTGGCCGGGGTGGCCCCTGCCCACTGTTCCTCTCAGGGAGCCCCGATGCACCCGCCTGCCCTGCCGTCCCCCCGCCCCAGGTCTGGGTGCTGCTCAGAGCACAGGGTCACCGCCCCTGTCCCTGCCCCCCCCCCGGCACACCTGGGCTCCCAGGGGCTCACTTACTCCTGTACACCTTGAGGATGGTGTAGGCCATGGCCGTGAGCACCCTCTCCCCATTGAGTACGTAGGCATCCCACAACTTCAGGGTGAGCGAAAAGGGGGTCTAGGGGACAGCGGGGTGGGAGGAGCGGCCTGAGCAGGGCCCCTGGGGGGCTCGGCTGGGGCTAGGCTAGGCCTGCCATCTGCCCCCCGGCTGCCTCCGACGAGGCCCCACCGCCCCCCCCCCGTGCGTGCCCTCCTCCCAGGGAGATCAGGGCTCCCGGCCGCTCGGGGTTCCGACCCCGGCCAGCACCTCCCGCACCCCTGGGGGCACAGACTCTGCCCCCACTTGATGACACCACGCTCCAGAGGACCCCAGGCTGGCCGCCCGATGGGCCGAGGGCCTGTCCACACCCCAGGCTGACCCGGCCTTCCCCAGGGGAGCTGAGGCAGAGACGGCCCGCCCCCCGGAACCTCGTCCAGGGACCCTCTGGGCTTCTCCAGGACGGGCTGGGCTGCGAGCCTCAGCCTCAGGGCCCCGGGGTCAGGCCTGGCTCGTCTGGAGGGTGGGGCTGAGCTGGGCCTTCCCCGGGGGCAGGGGGCAGGTCCGGGAGCGGGGGTCCCAGGGGGGCCTCACCCAGCCGAGGAAGCACTGCAGGAACCACTTTGGGGTGTAGATGCTGGCGGACATCTGCTCCTCGTCCTGGCGGGAGGGCAGGAGGTGCTCAGGCCCCACGCCGCGGCCCCTGGAGCCGGGTGGACGCGCTCCCCACGGCCCAGCCCAGCCCAGCCCCGAGGGCGCCCCAGGGCCCCAGGGGGAGAAACGTGACCCCAACTCTGGGCAGCTCAGAGGGCCGTGCCCCCCACCCCCTGCCCCAGGCCCCGGGGACGGAGCCTCAGGAGCTCCCACTCGCCATGTGCTTCCTCAGGTCGGGGAGAGCTCTTTGGAGGACGCGCTCGTGATGAGCCTGGAACCTGAGGAGCTTCGGGAAGCCTGGGAGACGAAGAAGCCTGAGAAGGCCCCAGGCCCCCACGGTCAGGGCCTCCTCCTGCACCAGGTGGGGTGGGGGTGTCGGGGCAGGGGCCTCCCCCCACGCCCTGACCCCCGTGTGCCCACTGCCCTCGGAGCCCTGACTGGACCCGCTCTTCCCAGAGGGCAGGGCTGCCTCCCAGAACAGGGGCGCGGGGCCCGGGGACCCTCGTCCTCACAGAGACCCCGCGGGGCGTGGGCTGGGGGCTGAGGACCAGGCCCGGCTGACCCAGAACCCTCTCTCCTGCAGGGGCTGATGCGGGGACAGGCGGGTCCCCAACCCCGAGGGGCAGCGGGTGCAGGCCACGGGGAGGGTGATGGGTGTGCACGGCCCTCTGTGGGGCTTGGGAGTGAGACTGGAGGCCCCCGGGAGGGGGAGACGCTGCCCCCTGGGCCCCGTGTGGCCGTGGGCAGGCAGGGGGGCCTGGGGGGGCAAGCAGGCAGCCGGGCGGGAAGCTGGGGGAGCAGCGGGAGTGCAAGCCCAGCCTGCAGACGGTTGGGTGGGTGGCCGTGGCTCCGGGACCCCGAGGCCACCGGGGAGGCGGGTCCCTTGCCCGTGGGGAGGCGGGCTGGGGGTCCCCGCCTGCCCCCCGGTGCAGCAGCCTGCAGGGAGGTCCTCCTGAGCTCCCCTCCCGCCCGGCGGCCCGGGGGCCCCTACCGTGCATGGCGTGCCTGTTGTTGGTCATCAGCTGGGCCAGCACCCAGAAGGCGTCCTCCTCGGGCAGGAACATGAGGAGGATGGCCGCGATCTCGCTCATGCCCTGGCAGTAGCCCACCTCCTGCAAGAGCCAGAGCCCCACGGAGGGCGTGCGCCGCGAGGCCCCCTCTGAGCCCTCCCTGCAGGCGTCAGGCTCCCCCGGCTCCCTCACAGCCCGGGCTCCCGGAGGGAGCTCCCAGAGGGCGGGGGGGCAGGTGAGGGCCACCCGGACCAGCTCGGGCGCCAGCACCCCGGGCCCTGCTACCGAGCCCTGCAGCCACTGTGCCAGGGCCCCATCCTCAGACCAGCAGGGGGGCCTCCGTGAGCTGTGCCAGGCTGCAGGGGACCCGCCAGGTCTGGAGACACCCCGGAGGGCAGGTGGGGGGCCTGACTGTGGCCCTGGCAGGTCCCACGATGGGAGCTGGGCCAGGACACCCAGCGGGGCCGGGGAGCGTGTGAGCTGGGGTCCTCGGGGACCCTTCTGGAATGCGCCATGGAAGGGGGCGGCCTCCTGGGCGCCTCGGCCTCATGCCCTTCAGGGGAGTGGGAGTCTCCCCACCCGGGTTCTCGTCAGTAGTGCCGTCTGTCAGGGTCCAGACCCGAGCTCTAAGACGGCCGCGGTGCACGCGGGGGCCCCGGGCAGCCCCGGCCCTCGGGCACACAGGCCCTGCCTCCCCTGGGAGGTCTGCACCCCGCCCCCTGCCCATCCCGGAGGAGAGAGACCCTCCCCGGCATCTCAGGGCCGCGGAGCTGGGGCCCTAACTGTGAGTCCCGCTGGTCACCAGCACTCAGGACAAGGCCGCCCGCTGGGCAGGAGGTGGGGGCAGGGACACTCACGGTGTCGTACACCGAGTAGGCCGCCAGCACGTGGAACAGGGCTCGCTGCCTAGGAGGGGGGACAGCGAGGGGCTCTGCTCAGTCAGCCCCTGCCCAGCGAGGCCTCCGAGGTGCCAACACCCGCCCTGCAGGCCCCGCGGCCCGAAGGGCCCCTCCGTGGTGGAGGATCTCTGGGTCAGGTCTGCGCACGGGGACAGGCAGCGACCTCACACGTGCAATGTGCCGGGGGTTAAGTGCACTCTGGGGTGTCCAACGCCTCCAAGCGGCTCCCGCCATGGGGTGTGCAGCTCTGGGCTCCCCCAGCGCCGCCAGCGCCCCCTCCAACCTTGGAGCGGCACCCCCTGCACGCCCCCTGGGAGCCAGCGCTCCCCCTGCCTCAGTCCCCGCAGGCCCTGACACCTCTCCTCCCCTGCCCTGGCCTGGCCCGTGTCCTGGGAACACCACCAGCCCCACGTGGCCCCTGCCCTGAGCCCACGCAGCCGGGGCATCCGTGGCCCTGAGCGCACCCCCAGGCCTTCCCAAGTGTCCCTGGACTGGACTCTGTGGGGAGCACCCTGGGCCTGCCCATCCCAGAGCATCTCGGGGCTCCAGGTCTGAGCCGCCGTGAGGAGAGCAGGGAATGTCGTGCAGGTGTGACCCGGATACAGGTTGCGAACCCATGGGGTCACTATCTGAGCCCCTGGGAGGTATGGGGTGCGGCCCCCTCAGCGCTGCCAGGAGCCACCCGATGCCCCCCGCACTGCGGCCTGAGTCTGCACCCCGGCTCTGCAGCCCCCGGGCCTGGGCTGCTGGAGGCCGGCTCCCCCTGGGCCGGGGGTCACAGGTCAGCCTGACCTGGCCGCGCTCTGAGGGCCGCGGGGGCCCCGGGGGCAGCAGGTTCCCTGCAGGGAGGAGCACCGAGCTCTCGTGGGGAGACGGTCCGAGCGGCCCCCCGGGAAGCCCAGCCACCCTTGCCTGGCGGCTCCCCAGCCCCGCCCCTGGCGCCCCTGCAGGTCACCCCTGGGGTCCCGGGCTCCCACACACCCCGCCCGCTGCACACAGAGGTAGCTGCACCCTCTGCTCCACCCACCTGCACCCCCCTGTCGGGGCTCCCTGCCTTCCCCACCTCCCGCGGCCCCTGGGGACTCTACGGGACACCCGGGCTTCTGACGGGAGCAGGCCGTCCAGAGAACCCCAAGGTGGCCGGGGAGGCTGAGCATGTCCCACAGGGGGCAGCTGCACCGCGTCCTTGTGTGGGGGGGGGGCAGGACCGATAGTGTAGGGGTGGGGGGTCTGGGGGTGTGGGGGATGGTGTGGGGGTGATGTAGGGGGATGGCGTGGGGGCGGTGGTTGAGGGGATGGGGTGGGGGGCTGCGGACACAGGGCACCCCCTTCTCTAAGGTGCACACGGAGACGTCTACAGATAAAGGCGACCCCAGTCTGGGGTTTGCCGTGATCCCCTGCCCCTGGGGCCCCGTGTGCTCAGCGCAGGGCCTGCCTGGACCGGGGCGGCATCTGGGGGTCGTCATGCTCTGTGTGCTCACCAACTGCAAATTGTCTAAAATAAAGTGCCCAGAATTCAGAAGTACATAAAGCACCGAGGGTGGGTGTCACCCTGACCTGTCCGACCCTCGTCGGGTCCATGTGTCCCGGTCCAGCCGCGGCCATGCACCCTGGCCCCCAGGTCCCCTTACTGCCCCCCACGCCCCCACCCCGGCCCCCTGCTCTTCACGGGGCCGCCCCTCACCCCCTTGGGGTTCAGCTCAGACGGTGACCCCTGGAGGCCCCGTCCTGGGGCCTCCCCATCCCCGAGACCCTGGGGGTGGGGGCACGGGGGTCATCCCCAGCACCCTACCATGTGGCAGTGTGTTGTTTGCTGCCGTCGCTCCCCCCGGCCTCGGAGACCCCGTGTCCCCGGCACAGAAGCCCCCGGGCCTCCCCTGGGCCCCCGAACCCCGCTGGCCCAGCAGCCTCACCCGACCCCGTAGCGGTCCCAGAACATGGTGTGACTGCGGAACGTGCGGTTGACGTCCAGGTCGATCTGCATGATGTCCCGGGAGGAGACCAGGGCCGCCTCCTTCATTTCCTGCGGGGAGACCCGGGAGGAGGAGCCGGCGTCAGGGACACAGACCCCGACCTGTCAGCAGCTGCCATCCTGGGCAGGGAGCCCTGGGGCCACCATGGGAGTGTGTCCTGCAGGAACCTGCCTCCTTCCGCTGGGAGGCCAGGGACGGCGGGAGTGCCCACCGTGCCCGCGGGGCCTGCGTGAGGGCCTGTGCCCAGCTGTCGTGGGCGGGGAGGGGACTGAGGGTCAGCCCGGGTGGGGAGGGGACATGGAGGGTCAGCCCGTGTGGGGAGGAGACATGGGGGTCAGCCCGGGTGGGGAGGGGACATGGGGTTCAGCCTGGAGGGGAGGAGAGGAGACATGGGGGTCAGCCCTGGACAGGGAGGGGACATGGAGGATCAGCCCAGGTGGGGAGGGGACAGGGGAGTTCAGCCCGGGTGGGGAGGGGACATGGAGGGTCAGCCCTGGGCAGGGAGGGGACTGAGGGTCCACGGGGAGTGGAAGGGCCCCACCTGGTATTTCCCGGCATTCCTGGCCTTAACCTGGTCGACGTTCAGCAATCGCAGCCACACCTGTCCCCGCACCTGGGGCGGGACCCCTTTGTAGACCTGGCGCGCGCAGCTGCGGGGAGGAAGGCAGTGCTGGTGAGAGGGGCCCAGGGCGGCCCCTTGGAGCCCAGGGGCCACGAGGCATCTAGAAGGTTCCGGCTTCGGCTCCAGGGTGTCTGCAGAGAGGCTGGGTCTCCCTGGAGCTGGGTCCCGTCCCCCACGAGGAGCAGGGACCGTGGCCCGACCTGACGCTCCCCCGCCGCCGTCCCGGGGCCTGGGGAGGCTCGGGCTCCCAGCAGACTCTCCCCAGGCAGGGGGCTCCCCCGAGGACGGGGCAGGAGGACACTGAGGGCGGCCCCCAGCCCCGTCAGGACGGAGAGCCCTCGGGGCACCCAGCGCCCCACCTTCTCGCTGGGGAGGTAGTGGTCCCATCGCTTGAGCATTTTTATCCATTTGTCCGCGCGCCGGGTCTCCTGGCGGAGTTTCTGGAAGAGGACAAGCGGGGGCCGCAGGTGAAGCTCCAGCCGCGGGAGATGGGCGCTCGGGCCACGTCCAGTCCCCCGCGGGACCCGGAGGAGCCAGGAAGGCGCAGGGCCCCCCGCGGACCACGGCTCCGGGTCTGGGGTGCGTTCCCGGCAGCCCGTGCAGCGCTGGGACGGGGGACTGGGGAGACGCCCGGGGATGTCCTGGGGGACGGGTGCAGACAGCTGGCCCCAGCCCCCCCCACGTCCTGCCCAGGGCCCAGGACGGGCTCTCACCTTGGCCTCGCGGGGGCTGGGGCCGGGCAGCTCCTTGTCCCTGGAAGGCAAGAGACGCAGAGCCCTGAGGCCCCGGCCCCACTGCCACCCCCCCCCACCCCGTCTGCACCTAGGGGCAACGTTTGGCAGTGCAGGTGACGGCGGCAGGATGCCCGGCGCAGGGTGAGGGCTGCCCCGATCGGGCCCATGGCCCGCAGTTCTGCTGCTTCAGAGCATTTCTTACGGAGCCACCTAGACAGGGCCGTGTGTGCACATCTCACCGTCCTCACCCTGCTTGTGCCGCGAGATGACCAAGTGTCTACGTGGTGACCCGGCGCTCGGCTCCCACCGACCTCCTGTCCACGTGTCGGGAGGGGGCCGTGGTGACCGGAGCCACGGCGGTGGGGTAGGCCGGGCAGACTGCGTGGGAAGGGTGTTGGTGTGTTCAGGCCACGAGGAGGGCGTAGGTGTGCTCACACACGGCGTACGCTCAGCGGGCCGCCCCAGGGACCCCCGGCCCTGCCTTGGGGCCCTCGTGCCGCACACGGTGGCGGCGTGGAATTCCTGCTCACGCTGGAGACAAAGTGGGTGTGTGTGTGTCTGAACCTGAGCTGTTGGTTCACGCCTCTGAGCAACTCCTTTGACTTTTTCCTAGATCTTTAGCGATTAAGGAGTTTTTTTTGAAGCCCAAGTACGACCACATTTTGAAGCCAGAAGACTGTCTGTCTGAACCATGCACCATCCTGCAGCTGGACATGAGAACCGTGCAGATCGCTGACCTGGAGGTGAGAGCCCCGGAGGCTAAGTGGGCGGCACACGTACCAGACTCTGTGCGAATAAACAGATTGAGGAAACTTGCCTTTGATTTTCCCTGAGTATTGTCTTTTTTATGCTCTGATTTTGTATTTTTACATTATTTTTTCACGGACCTCTTTAACATCATCAGTCATTTTTATATTTATGTTTAATATTTTCAACATCTTGAGATTCTAATAAATTATATCTAGTTTCTTCAAGGATTTCAAGTTAAAAATTTTTTTTCTAAGTTGTGCTACCGTGGATGACAAGATTCTTAATTCTTACTCTTACATTCCCCCTGTTGCCACGAGGTGGCGCGTGTGCATTCAGGAGGGTCTCATTTTAAGGGTGTGCTCAGAGGTGCAGAGCTTGGGAGCGGGTCCCTGGAACCCCGTGGAGCTCAGCCGGGAGCTAAGCTGTTGGCTCTGCACTTAGTTTCGCAGTATAGAGAGGCCCAGTTCTTTATGCCAAGAATTGAGAAGAAATAGGATTCCACTCAAATATGGGGCCAGAAAATGAGGCAAGTGAGGCCCACGTTGCTTGAAACCTTTTCTGATTATCTGCAGCATGTGAATTTGTGCTGCCAGCTTTAGTAGTTCTTTCCTGAGGAGCAGGTTTGCTGTGTTTGGCTACACTAGCAAGTTGCATCCACAGTTACTAGACTAGACATGGGGCCGGGCAGTGCAGCGGCATCTGAGTGGGGCTGGCGGAGGACAGCTGCTAGTTCCTGCTCCGGAGTCCTCACGGCCTGCTGTCACGCGCTCACGGGAGCCGCATCCCTTCCTTATCGTTTGCCTGAACAGACCATGAAAGGCGAGCTGCACTTTGAGATCAGGAAGGCTGGCACACTGCATGGATTTACGGCCTGGTTCAGTGTCCAGTTCCAGGACAAGCCACAGCTGGTGCTGAGCACAGGCCCGTTTCACCCGTGAGTGTGCAGCACCCGCAGGGGCTCCGCTGCCCCGGGAGGAGCGGGTGCAGGTCCCCTGCCGCGCGGCTGTCGGGGAGGCAGCAGCGTGTGCGGGCGGTGGGCAGGGGACCGGGACCGTGCTCCACCGACCCCTGCCCTGGGCTGCCCTGCTTGCCCTCTGACCCCTGCATGAACGGGCGGGGCGCGCTTTGCCTGCCTCAGTTGCCCTGGACGCTGCTTCAGCTTCCCATGGTCTAATACAAGCACAACCCTTGGAATTGTAGGGGCTTTTAACTCCCCAAGACTTTCTTGAGGAAGGTCAGTGTTTCTTGAGACAAATTTTTTTTAAAGATTTTATTTGAGGGAGAGAGTGGGCGAGAGAGCACATGAGCAGAGGGCGGGGGCAGGGGAGGGAGAGGCAGACGCCCCGCTGAGCAGGGAGCCCGATGCGGGACTCGATCCAAGGCCCCGGGGTCATCCCTGAGCCAAAGGCAGACGCTCCCCGGACTGAGCCCCCAGTCGCCCCTGGGACACTTCTGTAGCGTTTTCACGCTGCACGCTGCTCAGGCGTGCCGGGTGCTGCGGTCTGCCTCGGAGCTGGACCCAGCAGCCCGGCACAGTGCTGTCTTCATGGGGCCTCCGTGGGCCTGTATGGTAGGTGCCCGGGGCCGGGGCGGGCAGCCGCGCTGCTCGGGTCAACACTGGCTGCAGCAAGGGTCCTCAGGGCCTCGCGTCCATCCGCACCACAGGAGCCAGGCTGTTGGCCGGAGCGTCCGTGGAGGTGGCGGGGCCAGGGCTCCGGCCGCCCTTCCTGGTCCTGGCGCACAGATGCGAGCTGTCACCAGTCGAGGGCGGGAACTCAAGCCCCGGGCGGTCGTGTGCCCGCACACGGTGGGCTGGGGCAGGCAGGTGCCGAGCCTGGGCAGCGCTCTGGGACGCGGGGACAGGGGCCCTCATGGCGGCCGGGGCCAGAGGGACGTGAGGGCTGAGCGTGACCCCGAGGCCATGGAGCCATGTCCTCAGGGCCTGCAGAACCCAGAGAGCGCGGAGCGTGACCATTTGTCCCAGATGTCGCACTTGCCACACCCCCTCCAGCCCGACTCCCAGGGGCAGCGGCCTTCCTGCGCTGCGGAAACTAGAACTCGGCGTTGGCAGCCTAGGGACCGGGCAGGGACGCGGTAGATGCCCCGTGCCAGGGTGCGGGGGCCTGGGAGCACCTAGAGCCGCGTGCTTGCTGGGCTGTGGCTCAGTCCCTGGCGCCCACAGAGGCCTCGCCGTTGGCCTGGTGCGTCTGCCCCACGGGGGAGCCTGGGGGTCCGCCCCACAGAGGTGACGCGTGCCCCGTGTCTTGCACAACCACCTTGCAGAAGCAGGTGCTGTTTATGATGGACGAGCCCGTGTCCGTGTTCTCGGGAGTTGTGGTCACAGGCTCAGTTGTGTTGCAGAGAAACCCTGTGTGGAGGAGGCACATGTCCGTGGCGCTCAGCTGGTCCATCACTTCCACACAAGACCCCACATCGCAGAAAGTAAGGCTCGTGCTGCAGGGCGGATGCTGGGCGCTGGTGCTGGGAGACGGGCATGGCGGTCGCGGTGCCACGGCTTCGGCCTGGCTCGCCTGCGCTGCTTTCTCACCCTCCTCATGGGAAGTGGATGCCGTTATTGGTAGAACAGGAAACGGGGGCAGGAAGGTGAGTCTGAGGGCAGGGGCCCAGCCCAGGACCACCCTTCCCATGTCCAGGAGGCCCCGGTGGAGAGTGGGCCGGGCCGCCGTTCCCACACCTGGTGCAGGATGGCAGAGGGGACGCGACGGTTCTCCTCTGGTCTCCTACCTGTTTTGTGCTAATTTTATGTCAAAGTCTTAATGTTGGTCATTAAGGAAACTTCTCTGCCTGGAAGTGGCTCTTGGGTGCCATCCTGAGTCGTCATCAGGAGGTGCTGCGTGTGAGTCACACTCAAGTGGTTTATTATGACTGATTTGCTTTGTCTGTTTTCAGGTTGGAGAGAAGGTCTTTCCCATCTGGAGATGACGGTCGAAGTTGTGGAAGCAGGTGCTGCAGGAACGAGCCCGGGCGGAGACGCGCTTGGGTGTGAGCCCACATTCCTGTGGCCCGTGAGCTCCCCTGCCCGGTAGCGGGACACCCGTGTGCGTGTGCGCTCCCTTCCTCGGGGCCTCCACAGGTGCCGCGTGGGGCTCGGCGGGGACCCCTCACCCCTGTCACTGCCCGTGTCTGTGCTCTAGAAGTAGGCTGTGTCCCCAGGTGTCCACAGTCTGGCTCGTGGCCGAGTCAGTGGCACCGTGTCCCTAAGCTAGGTCTAGATCTCAACTCGTAGGGCACACCCGCATCAACCTTGTACTCCTGTGAAAGTAGCTGTTCACGCATCATGTGTCATGGTGTCCTTGCTGCCCGGGCCCCTCCCTGTCGTGCGAAGGTGGGCGCCCCAAAGCTGTGCAGGGCCTGGAGGCGGCGATGCATGTGATGGGACTCTGCATGGATAGTACAGTCGTAGAGATGTCTTCCATGTAAATTATGTGTTGGCGCATAGCACATACTCAATACATATTTTTAAAGAAATGAGTGTTGGCGTGTTTCTGTGCGCGTGTGCTGTGTCGGCAAGCGTGGGATCGTACCACGTGTGCTGCTTTGTAGCCTTTCTCACCTGGTGTGAAGGAACGTCCCTGCCTGTAGGTCCAGGTCTACGTCTTTTGGTGTGTATTGTTTTGATTTTTAGTTGACTTTACATTGCAATATGAACAGTATATCCCAACCGCATGAGTGACGGGTGTGCAGGTGTGCATCTCCCTGTAACAAGCACTCGACCGAGACCGTCAGCCGAGAGCGGCCGCCCCAAGTGCCCGGCATGCAGTGCCTCCGAGGGTGGTGCCCCTGGTGACGCTCAGCTTCCTGGGTCCGGTGGGGCACACAGGCTGCTTCTGGAGCCCGAAGCTTGTGCTGCCCACACTCCTAGGCTGAGGCTCCCGGCGGGGGGCCGTTAGGAGCAGGTGTTTGGGAGGTGCTTAGGCCTCGAGGGGGTCCCCCCGAGACGGACTCGTGCCCTTCCGGGGGAGAGCCCCGCAGAAGGTGGCTGCCCGGGGACTGGGCCGGGTCTTCAGGTCCCAGGGGGGAGGCCGCTGGGCTGGGGGACGTCCAGCCCCCGGGCCGTTGAAGCCGCTGGGCCGGTGCCATCCAGGCCCTGTCCCTTGCTGTGAGCGTCACTCAGCTCATGGGCACCTGTGAGCCCCAACCCCGTGTTGCCGCGGGTTCCCGCCACGTTCTGTCCCGCCGGTGGTCAGCGGGTGGCCAGCGGGTGGCCTCCCGGGCCCGGCCCCGGCAGGTGCGGCCAGGTGGTGCGTGTGGGCCCGCACGTTCCCCTTGGGTGCACAGCTGCCGTGGGGCTCCCGGGAGCCAGGGTCCTCAGCGTCGGCCATCCTTGGCGGGGCCCGGCTAGAAGCCCTTCACAGGCTTGTTCTGCGAACACCTGCTCCGTGGCTTAGTCTTCTAT